TGAAGGTTATTATAAATTTTAAAATGTAATTGCTAACAATTTTCCCGCGAAAAAAGGAAAAAAGAGAATGAAAGACATAAGACATAGTTACCTCTAAAAGGAAACAGAAAGAAAGACACAAGACATAGTCTAAAAAAGAAAAGAAAGATAAGAAAAGTGAAAAAAGAAAGAAAAAAAGAAAGAAAAATAAGAAGAGTGAGAAGGGAAGAAAGACAAGATAAAATCCCTTGTCCAATGAAAAAGAAGAGAGAAAGATAGAATAAAGATGATATAGAGATATAAAGAAGCTGAACAAGATATGTTGATAATGAGACAACCAATCAAAATCGTTTATGTTAAATAAGAGGTTGATACAAATTTAATATCAATGGATACAAATGGTCTATTGTGAACAAAATTTGATACTAAGTAACGTCACACGAACCGTAGACACTTTGCCCAGAGAGGCAATATAATTTAACAGTAATTATTTATTTAATAGTATGCAAAAAAATAAAAAAATAAAATAAAAAAAAACTTTTAAGAAATGAAAGAAAGGAAAACCGGAAAATATATCAAAATCAAAAAACCAAAAAAATAGAAAATATCAAAATAATAAATTAAATAAATAAATGAATGAAAAGACCCAAACTTAAAGGTACATGGATCACATAACTAAATCGTATAAATAATAAAACAATGAGATAATAAATTATATAAAATTCGACTTAATAGATTATGACAGTTAACTAAATAGTTTTTAAGTGTAATATTAATAAAATAAAAAAATAGAAAATGTCAAAATATCAGCCGAATATATATACTTCTATATAAAATATTAAAAATATTACCAGTGTTAGAAAAATAATGCACATATTATATTCCTCGAACTTACTAAGGATAAGCTAAAATATTTACCACAAGGTTCTGCTTTAAAAGAAGTGATTATTACATTTTAAAAGATTATATATATATATATATATATATATATATATATATATATATATATATGTATATGTGTGTGTGTGTGTGTGTGTGTGTGTGTGTGTGTGTGAAAATATATAGAAAATAGGAAAGAACTCGTTAGGTAAATAATCCAAAGTTCTTTAGTATTTTTGTTATTTTTTTTTAAAAAAGTGCTCGATACAAACGTAGAGCATAAATATAATTATTTATTTAAAAATATGATTCCATCACGCAACATAAGATTTCTCATGTTTCAAAACAAGAGCCGAAAACTTCAATATAATTATTTGAATTAAATTGAATTAAAGTCTGACTTGACATCTATGAATGTAATTTTATATTGAAACAAATTATTAACACCCTACACCCCTTCTGTTTAAACAATTGGTATAGCCGTTACCATGGAAATTTTTATTTCAATAATGAATATGCTATTAAAAGATGTAAATTTCAGAAATAAGTTATTCCAAAAAATATTTCGCTTGAAGATGGAACAGAGTTTACTTCAATTCAATTTAATTTAAATAATTATATTGAAGTTTTCGGCTCTTGTTTTGAAACATAAGACCTCTTATGTAGCGTGTTGGAATCATATTTTTAAATAAAAAATTATATATATATATATATATATATATATAATTTAAATAAAAACAGACCACTTTAAGGTTCCATGTAATAAATTATTATGTATGTGTGTACGTGTACGGATATGTGTGTAGATGTATATTTATGGATACATAGAATATTATAAAAGAAGGACTTACAGTCCTGTTAATGTTTTATCTCATTTTCTCATTTAATATTCTCCAATTGGAAGTGTGAGTTTAAAATTCTTTATAATATGGAGGAAAATTTTTTTACTTGATAGTTTAATTTAAATTGAAATATATTACCCTTTAATAATCATTATTGATGATAAAATATTTAAATTGGAAAAAGTTTTGATATTTAGGTAGATGTTAATTCATGAAAATACCTGTGTATTTCGGCACATGGGTACCTGTATGAGTGATTGCACATGTAAAGGAACGTGTGTATATGTGATATTTGCATGGGTGTGTATACAGTATATGACAGAACAAGATCTTTAATATTACCTTCAAATATTACCCCATAGTAACTTAACTAAAATTTAAGTAAAAGAGATTACCTATCTAGAAAGAGTCACGAGTTAAATTCATGAACAAAATTCAAACGGATAGAGATGTCAACTTAATAATCAATAATAACATTTTTTAAAGAGATTAAAAAAAAAAGATTACTAGAAGTAAACATATTTTAAAATAAAATTTTGTACTTTCTATGAATATTTTTCTAATCGACTATTTCATAGAAAATCCCCCAAAATTAAAAAAAAATTAAATCACTAACAAACATCAAATTAAATTATTTGTAGACAGTCTAGAGACATTCAAATTTATATCAAACATTATAATCTTTATGAACCCCCAAAATAACACTTTCAAAGTAAATCAAAATAACAGCGTCTGTTTCTAGCCTTTTTTTACAAAGAAAATTAGTGACATCTTCTCTCTTAACTTCCTTCCTCTTTTTTCTCTCTATGGATTTTTTCTTCTCTACCCCTTCGATATCAATATATAACTTCCGTTAAGTTAACCGTTTAAATGTGTCAATATCTGCTAACTCACTCATGTCTTCTCTCTCTCCCCCCTCACTTCCTCACTTCGTTAATTTACATATGTTTAATACGGCCCGTCAAAAATGTGTGAATTTTCTTTTCATTTTTGTTTGGATGTATAAAGTCTGATGATCCGCAGTCCTTTTAAAAGGGCTGTGGTGAAATAATTTATTACATGGAATCTTAAAGTGGTTTGTTTTTATTTAAATTATTTGCTCTGGATTTACATTGAGCTCTCTGGATTTTGTCCTCCTTAGGTTTAGCCATACGGATTACCTAGTTTTCATAAACTAAATATATATAAGTATATATATATATATATATATATATATATATATATATATATATATATATATATCCCAGTATATGATTAAATTGGTCTTAAATGTAATCCATATATATATATATATATATATATATATATATATATACCCAAGTATATGATTGGTGTATACCACCTTCTGGATCATCAGACTTTATTGAAGTAAAGTCTGATGATCCGCAGTCCTTTTAAAAAGAGCTGTGGTTTTATAATTTATTTTTGGAACCTTAAAGTGGTCTGTTTTTATTTAAATTATTTGAGAAAATTTACAAAGCTCTAGTGATTTTAAGTCCTCTAACAATTTAACCAGAAAGGATTAGCTTTTTTTTCATAAACTATATATATATATATATATATATATATATATATATATATATATATATATATATATATAAGTAATAAAATCTTAGTAATCCGTATGGAAAAATCCCAATCGACCATGTTTCTTTTTACCACCTTCGATGTCATTTTATAAAAAAAGTGTAAATTTTACATTCATTTTTTCACCCTTGAGTGTGCAGTCTGAACAAAAAAAATGAAAACTCTAGTGAAATAAAGTTAACAATGGAACCAGAAAGTGGTCTGTTTTTTTTTTTAAATTATATATATATATATATATATATATATATATATATTTAAATTTGTTTTAACCAGCAAATTCATTTTAGGTATGCGTTTAAAAATTGCATACATTTTCACTGCTAATTTTTAACAAAATCCGTTCATGCTCACGAATAACCTTTACGTATTGATATTAAAGAAATGTTCTATAATGGTTTAAATTTCTTTTATTTTCATTTCCCAAGTACTTTTGATTTTCTTCCAAGATAACTTATTTGAGAGTATTTTGATCCAACATTATTTCTTATTGATTTACATGTGTTTGATTTGGTATCCTTTTTTTTTTTATTGAAAAGCGAAATTAATTACAATCGGCCTAAATTTAGAAACCCTACTAACGAAAAATGTGCCTTTAATGGAATCAAACCTGCATCCCATCAGGCAGACTTTTTGAGTCAAAATCTGCCAGTACGGAGAATGGGTGAGATAGACTGGCAGATACAGATAGATATTAACAGGTTATGATAGATAGATAGATAGATAGATAGATAGATAGATAGATAATCAACAGACTGAGATAGGTAGATCTATGTCCATACTGTGAATATTTCTCTATTTTTATTTTTCCGCATCTCTTTTTACACACACACACACACACACACACACAGAGACACACACACACACACACACACACACACACACACACACATATATATATATATATATATATATGTATGTATTGGTAGGGATTATAATTGGTAGGGATTATTCAAAAGAGGATTTTTATTCCATATGAGAGCTCAAGGTATGAAACAGAGCAAATTATAAGAATAATTAGGAAAAACTTTAAAAATCAAGAGTCAGTAATAAATTTAATTCGATGAATGTAGGTATGTTCATATCATCAGACCCAATATGAAAAAATTCTCTGAAGAACAGGTTTAGATAGATAGATAGATAGATAGATAGATAGATCTGATAGGAAGAGGTTTAGATAGATAGATAGATAGATGTAATAGATAGATGTTTTAGATAGAGAGAGAGAGATAGATAATGAACACACAGAGATAGATAGATAGATAGATAGATATGAGACAGAATGAGATAGATAGATAGATATAGATAGATAGATAGATAGATAGATATGAACAGAACAGACAGATAGATAATAAAAAGACTGATAGATATAGATAGATAGATAATAGATAGATAGATAGATAGATAGAAACTGTATAGATAGAGATAGATAGATAGATAGATAGATAGATAGATAGATAGATAGATAGATAGAAAGGAACATGTTTAGATAGATAGATAGATAGATAGATAGATAGATAGATAGATATGAAAATAGACATAGATAGAAGATAGATAGATAGACAGACAGATAGATAGATAGATAGATAGATAGATAGATAGATAGATAGATATGAACAGTAAGATAGGTAGGTAGACAGATAGATAAGAAACAGACTGTGATAGATAGATAGATAGATAGATAGATAGATAGATAGATAGATAGATATGAACAGACTCAGATATGTAGACTGATGTATGCTAAGGAATATTTAATTTTAATATTGAATTATTTTTGTAAGTAAGTAATATCTGTACTGTGAAGGAAAGTGCGCTTAATATATTTTGCCCAGCTTATCTTGGTCTCTTCACGTTGAAGAAATATTTTTCCTGGCATTCCTATTGCTTACCCGATCCGAATTCCCTTGCTGGTCTTCGCCCGTGGTTTCTCCACATTTTAAAAGACAAAATAACGAGAAGGAAACAAAACAAACACGAACAGCTGTGATCCAACACTCAGTCAGGTCGAAAGAACTTCAATTGTCCCATCTGCTCTCATATCAAATCACGTTCGCTGAGCCTAACAATCGATGGATTTCCTTTTAATGGCGTCCCAAATTGGTTTGCAATCCCAGAAGGTGGGCGCCCATAAAAGAAGAGGAGACCAATTTTACGAATTAAAAGACAGAAAGAAACAAATTACACCTGGCTGTCTGTCCACGTGTGACATTGATTAACAGTAAAATAGCTAATTTTCCAGGTAGATGTGCTCGACAGGTGTGCACAAGATTTATAGCCCTAAACTAGGGAACCAAGAATAGAAATTTCTCATTTGAAAAATAAACTCAACCGCACTGATCTTTCTATCACCAGTTATCTATCTATCTATCTCTCTCTCTCTCTCTCTCTCTCTCTCTCTATATATATATATATATATATATATATATATATATATATATATATATATATATGATGGTTTATATTTGTGTTGTTAACAATTATGTTACGAATAGGGTCCGGTAGGTCTCCAGGGGTATGTAAATGTGACCTAAGTGAGCTATGGTCAGTAAGGTGTAGTGTGAGTCTTCGTGTCAAACATGAATATTTTAAAAAATGCACAATACCAGTTGACAATAGCCAAAAAATTAGACTGATTATATAAATATAAAAAAATAAAGAACCTCCATACTTATAGTAAAAAATAATAATTCACTTCTTAGAATAAAATTAAATATGACAAATATTATTTACGACTTTAAATGTCTATGACGGAGTTTTATCCCTGATCAATCAAAATCCGTAAATAATTATATAGGCTATACTACATGTTTGACACGAAGACTACTGGACCTTATTCGTAACATACTTGTTAAAAATAAATACATACATACATACATATATACATATATATATGTGTGTGTGTGTGTGTGTGTGTTGGGGGTTGGTTGGCTGTTCTGCAAGTGGAATCGAACCTGCCTCCTACATGTAACTGTCATACAGCCCTACGTGTCATATCATCTATCTACGGACCTAGCTAAGCAGAAGCTTTTTCTGTGGGTGGATGGTATGGCATGTGAGGCAATATGGCGGTTCTGTGTAGGACACAGGTTCGATTTCTGTCGAAAGACACATATTTACTTTGAAATTCTTGGACATTCAGGCCGGTAAATGTTGTTAATACTGTTTATTATGAACAGACGATTTACTTATATATTTGCATCTAAAAAAAAAATGAATAAACAGAAAACATATTAAAATAATTGTCGGATTTCATAATATATATATATAAAATAATTGTCGGATATAGTTTTTTAGTTAGTTGACTACTAGTATCAGTTTTTTTTTCTTTGGGCTTTGGACCTGTATGCTGTACGATTATTTTCGAGAGACGTTCATGTTCCACGCTCTTTCTTTTTAAACCTTTTTTTTCTTTCAAAATTGTTTTGATCATTAGCAAATCAAGAAACCGAAGCTTTTCCGAAACGGGTGTAAGTAATTTATAATTATATATATATATATATATATATATATATATATATATATATATATATATATATATATATATATATATATATATATATATATATATATATATATATATTTATATATATATTGGGTTGATAGATGTGAGTTTGTGACCCTAGGTTTAAAACATTAATCATTTTGTCTGACGATCGCTAAAGCGTGAAACCCAGGGTCACAAACTCACATCTATCCAACCAAATATGTTAGCTCTATCTCTGATATTGAGCGCTTAATAAGTACCCTGCATATAATATATAAATAATTATACATATATATATATTTATTTATATTTATATACACTTTTCACACACACACACACACACACACACACACATATATATATAGTTCTTTAGCATTTACTTTTAAAAAAAAACAATGCTCAATACACTATTGGACACTAGGGGTAATATGCTGACTATGCTGGCAGCATCGGTGTCGAAGTCTCGGACGAAGGGCAGAGTCTCGTTCGGGGAGGCAGACAGAGACCCGATTCCGCGTATGTGTGGTCTACGTGCAATTTTTGCTCGAGCCCACGGTCTCGGATCTCCCCAAATTAAATTAAGACTTGTTCCACATCGTACCTCGTAATATGTTGTCTAAGTAGTCCACCACTACCAGTGGTTTACCTACTTCACGCCGCTGGAGAGTATTGTATTTTGTTAATGTTATGCATAATTTCATTTCCAACCTCCGTTTTGACTATTCCTCATTCAGTAACCTTTTCTAAGTTACAACAGAATCCTCAGTTTTTTTAATATTTACTTTTTTAAAAAGTGCTCAATACAAGATAGAGCTTAATATTTTTAATGACATTTTTATTTTAAAATATTTTACATTGCGACACGGAAATTTATCTGTTTCAGGACTTAAAATTTTTATGCCGTCATCAGGCAATGTTGGATAACTGTTGATGAAATTATTTACTATTTGTTGTGGTACGATCCACCTAATTTACATAAGTGGAGTACCGACCATATAAATATGGGTTGGTACCGGGAAGACGGGGGAAGTAAGAAGAGATCGAATCGAGAGACTCTGCCCGACTGCGATTTAGTCAACCCATTCTACAGGAACAGTCTTCCCAAGAATATACCAAAACTAACTGTAAATATTGTGTACCTTTTTCCTTGTTTCAATACATTTTGTTTAAGTACATTTTGTGTTGTATTATTATTATTCCATGCTTATCCAAGTTTCAACACTTTTGAAAACAGAAAACAATACGTTTGCTTATTAAAGAGTTAAGTAGTGGCGGGAAACGAGATTTTAAAATCTTATGGGTATGTTTCTTTTGACTAATCAAAAGTCAAAGCTAACGCAGAAAAGTTAAAAATATAGGTTAGATGTTGGTGGCGGTGTGTGGTATTCATACATGTCTCGGGGAACTGTCATATTAAGACACGACCTCATAATTCCGTTTAAGAATATATATTTAAGTTACGAAGAAATAATCTGAAAGATATTTATATCTCTAATAATAGATTATTTTAAAAAAAATATATTTTTTATATATTTTAGAACTATCTTAAGGAAAAAAAAAGTGTAATTAGAACAGAAAACAGTAGTAAGAGAATTGACCGAAACAACCTGAAGACACGGAAAGGCTAAAGCTAAGGTAGCGGAATCGGCTGATTTCCTAATATATATATATATATATATATATATATATATATATATATATGTGTGTGTGTGTGTGTGTATGTCTGTGCGTGTGTGTGCGTGTGTGTCAGATTACAGTGAAAATGCCCCATTTGATTGTAATACACGGAAAAAATATTCAATTCATGAATATGAAAGCATTATGCTAAAATGTTCGTATTTTATGTCATCAGACACGCGTAAAAGAGAATTTGCTACCTAAATACACAAATTTATATATATATATATATATATATATATATATATATATATATATATATGGTTGTGTGTGTGTGTTGTTTTCTAAAGAAGTAATGGAATTTTATGAATTAATTCATTTGGCATATTTTTTATCACTGTCGGACGCATTTTTTCTTTGATATGATTCATCGAATAGACACAAATAGCCGGTAGACACAAATAAAATTATAATACTAATAAAAAATAAACGTTACACACACACACACACACACACACATATATATATATATATATATATATATATATATATATATATATATATATATATATATATATATAAGGCTCAAACACTAATATTCCATGATTATAATTTATTACATTGGAATCGTAATCACGATCCAATTCCTCAGATCTACAAACGCAAATCGGAGTTGTCCTCATTTTTGTTGCCATATTTATCACAACGTTTCGGACACGTTGCATAGTGGATAAAGGTGTTGCTTAGATCCAGTGACAGGACCCAAAGAGTTGTGAGTTCAATACCTGGTTAAGGCAGTGGAGAACTTGGAGAGGGGAATTAACAGGAGATAACGGATAACTGACATCCATTAAACATGGCATGTGGAACTAGAACAGTCTACCCCAGCGAGCAAAATAAAGGTTGCAGTTCGACATTCCAACCACCTGAAGAAGGCCGGTGCGTACAATGGACGAAACGTTGTGATAAATATATCCACAAAGATGAGGACAATAGTCCGAATAATGTAAATAGTGTACATAATACCTCATCTCAGAAATATAGACAGATACTAAAGAAGGCCGGAGCGTACAACGGCCGAAATATTGTAATAAATATGGCGACAAAGATGAGGACAATAGTCCGAATAATGTAAATATTGTACATAATATCTCATCTCAGAAATATAGACAGATACTAATAATGTTGTATTTCTAATCTATGGGTAGATGAGATATGACAATCATTCCCGGTTGAAAGAACTAAGAGTCGGAGAGGGAATATGAAATCAAATAATAATAATAATAATATTAATTTTTCTTCAGTAAAAAGGAGATTGCCAAATTTTGCTTTCATTTTCAATATGGAATCCCATACGTGCCAAAATTTTAAATATGGTACCTCACGAGGGCTAAAAATATTCAAATTAAACAACTTCAGAAGCGTAATTCGATTCCGGATGAAAAGAGTCGCTGATTCGGACATTGCCTGCTCGCGTCTTTCAATTAATGCATGATATAAATCGATAATTGAATTTTGGCAATTAATTCGCACTGCCAATGTGTCGGTCTGGAGCGGAAGACATCTAAAAACAGATCCGAATTAAGCAAGAGGTTCATTAGTTGTAAGAGCATAG